GCCCTGCAGTGAAGAGTAAATAGTCTCTGTCGAATACAGGGTGAGATGATAAAACTGCAACAAACTTCAGACTACTGTCATTTATAAGCCACTCGTCCGACAGATTTCAAATGTTTTCCAGTGACAGCTCATTATATTGTTTACAAGCGTAGAAAAGCATTTTGGTGAGAATTTTCCAGAAAAAAAAGTTATTCGTGATGGAATTCAAGCGTGATTTCCTTATATTTGGCTGGAAACCCGCAGGTGGCTATCGTTAGAGCACTCCAGCATTTAAATGTGAATAAATCTTTTGTGTCTCGTACCATCGCTCGTTACCGTGATACTGGTAGCGTAGCCCGACGTCAAGAAAGTGGACGGAAGAAAACAGCAAAATCAGCAGAAATGGTTCGAAAAGTAATGAAGAGAGTTACTTCGCTTGGCCGAAATTGGCGAACGGCCGAATTTGGTTTTCCCCGATGAAAAAGCATTCGTTGTCCAGCAGTTTGTATACAAACAAAATGATCGTGTTTACTTGCCAAAGAGGTCTGCTGAAAATGTCCACCTTCGATTGGCCACCAGAACTCAAGCGCCGGCCATGGTGATGGTGTGAGCCGCCATAACAGCCGATGGTCGCGAGCGGAGATTATTAATCGACCGTGGCATCAGAATAAACACCGAATATTATCGCGAAAATATTCTGGAGGATGTATAAAAGCCTTGGGCACGTAAACATTTTGGTCGCAGACGTTGGACTTTCCAATAGGACTCAGCACCAGCACTCAGTACGCGCCACCCAAGAATGGTTACAAAATTAGGTTCCTCGCTTCATTTCCAGGGCACACCAGACCGCCAAAATCTCCGGATATCAATCCGTTGCACTATTGTGCCTGGAGTATTTTGGAAACCAAGGTTGGCACTAAAAAATACCAAAGTGTCGATCACCTCAGGCTAGCGCTTGGCGGGGAATGTGCCAAAATACCGAAGATCAACATTCGGGCAGCGTGGCCATAATTCGCACCAAAGGTGACCAATTCGAACAAACCTAAACTTATTCTAAAATTTGATGCTATTTCCCACATTTTTTGCTTTCATTCAATGAAATTAAAAAAAATGCAAAAATTGTGTGATTTGAATTTGTTGCAGTTTTTTTATCTCACCCTGTAATTTTGTTAAAAAAAATGTAGTTAAAATCATCAAAATACCGATTTATAGACTGCATTCCAAATATCAAGTTTGAGATAATTCTATTTAAAATTGTAGCTAAATCCTCAAAATTGGGAGGTACCGTTATGTGGGGGCTATACGAAGGCGTGGATCTGTACAGGCAAATTTCTATCATAGAAAGTTGTAGCGATTGCGATCTCCTAATACCAATTATAAAATAATTCTGAAGAAAACAGAGTTTAATATGTCACTAAGTCGATAATGGACAACATAGGAATCATTTGGAAGCTAATGAAAATACCTATCCAAAGAGTGGTCACATCAACGTTAAAACGGTTCGGAGGTTATATTAAAATTACTCGGCCGGGCCTTTAGATTTTTTCCTCTAGGTATGTCCAATTTGGACCCAAAGAATCAATAATTATATTTCATAAGCTTTTAAATGATGCCTATATTGTCCATACCGGCTTAATAGATATGGGTCTAATTGGGTCCGGGTCCGTCCCACAAGAAAACAATACTTTCCCGGGATCAGAGTACAAATACCCACCTTTAGAAAAAAAATTCCAAGAATCCAAGTGATTTTGGAACAACTCTAGTTTAGTAACAACCCTTCCATTTTTTCGAATTTTTTTGTAGGTAGGTGATTCCGGGAGACTATTTTTTCCTTGGGCGACTGACCCGGAACCTCAGATTTTTGACCCGAAAGTTCACTTATCGGATATAGACAATATAGTTATCGTTTGAAATTCTATGAAAATACCTATCCAACAAGTGGTCACATGATGTGGATCCAGAAAAGGTATTAGCACAAATTGTAGCATTTTGGAAACGTAAGTGTCAGCAATAATTTTGCATCAATTTGGTTGACCTCCATAATGAGCCTTTATTCGACTTTTTGGGGGTTTTATAAAAAATCCGGGACCAAAAAATCGATAATTTGACTATAACTTCCAAACTGTACGTATTTTCATAAGCTTTCCAACGATACCTATATTATCTTTATCGGGTAATTGGATCCGGGTCTAGTCGGGGTCTTAACCCCGGACTTTCGGGTCAAAAATCTGGGGTCCCGGTTCCGTCCCACAAGAAAAAAATAAGTTCCCCGGTATCAGGGTAAAAATACCTAGTACTGGAAAAAATTTAAATAAAAACAAGTAAGCAAAGGCTACAGTCGAGCGTGGCCGACCGTTGAATACCCTACAACACTATAATTAACGATACAGTTTATATAGGCGAGATACTCGAAAGAATTCCACAAGATATTGTGACAAATAATAAAAGAAAACCATCAGGTTTCGTTCTCTAATTTTCGAATAATAGCAACTTAAACTAATTTGCTCATTTCCAATTTTTTGGTAGATGTTGCACGTAAATGGTCTTCCTAGATCTGGAACCAATATTTCCCAAAGACCTATAATCCCTCAGACGTGGCAAAAGATTAACATTTATTATTGGTTTTTGACTGAAACTCAACGAAATCAGCGTTAACGAAATAGTCAGAAGTGCGTCTTTCCTGTATTTGTGAATTCTCCAAAAAGTCACCGGAATGGACATTTTCGTATTTTGTCTACAAAAGTTGGCAAACTATTTCACACATTGAATATTTTTGGGATGGCCATCCAAAACTGCTTGGCTTTTGCAATGTCCGGTAACCCCCATCCAAATGTGCGTGAGGATCGGGCAATAATTACGACCTGCTGACAATTTTGCAGTTTTTTGGTCCATTTCAACCCCTAAATATATAACGATCATCTCCAAAAAGAGTAGGCATCTATTCTGACCCTCATCTTATCCCCATGCAAAATTTCGTAAGGATCGGGCCATAAATGCGATCTGTATCTGATATCCTGATATCCTAACTACTTAGAAATATTACCAAATGTTTAATTCAAAATGAAAATATGCCAAAAATATGACAAAATTGAAAAAATATGAGAAAATGTTACAAAATCAATATTTTCATCTATAGAGAGATATTTTTATGCGATTTTTTAGACGTTTTTTCTTTCCTGCCAAGAGGCCATTCTGAATTAATGAGAACTGACGAAATCAGTTCAGCCGTTCTCGACATATAAGAGATCTTTCAAGCATATCCTCTTTGATAGACATATATATCGCACATATTTTGCTATATATCCGTTTTGTTGGATGTTAACATCAATGTAAAGATCAGAAGTAACCTTGTCATGGCTTTGTGATTTCGCCGGGATTTAAAATATTCGCGGTTTAATGAAAAATTTTGAATTTTTTCAACACAAAATATATGGTCTATTTTACCCGCTAAATATTATCCGATGACCACCCAAATTGGTAGGCTTCTTCCCCGCCCTAAACTCTAGCTACATGCGAAATTCCGCGTCGATTGGTCTATAATTGCGACCTGTATAGCTACTGCAAAATCCGACATTTTTTCAGTATTTGGTCCATTTAAACCCCTAAACATTTGGCGATCATCTCCAAAAGAAATAGGGTTCTATTCTGAACTCAACCCCACCTACATTCTAAATTTCGTGAAGATCGGGCCATAATTACGACCTGTAGAGTGATTACAAATTAACATGGACAGACGGACAGACGGACAGACGGACGGACGGACATACATAGCTAGATCGACTCAGCTCGGCGAGCTAGGAAGATCCATATATACTTTCCTATATGGGAAATCAATATTTCGAGGTGTTACATAATTTTTGGCCCAATCAAACTTATAATACCCCCAACACATAGTGTTGTAGGGTATAAAAAATAAAAAGTTTTACTAAATTGGAGTTAAGCCGAGATTTTACCAAACTTGGAAACCTTTTTTCAATAATATATTTTGTTTGCAGAAGTCTATAGTTCCCAAGTTCTGGAACTAACATTGCATTATTCTCATTTATTTTTATGGCCGGGCAATGCAATATGATGGACATTGTAAAGCCCTAGAGGTTCTGATTTCAACGATATAATTCAAATTCCTGAGTCAGTCAACTACTTCGATACCTGGGCCTTAGAGCTTTTCCACATTCATTAACATTAATTCACTTCTTCTGAGATTTTGCAATAGACATCTAGTTGATAGCATGGTACAATGAAGAGAAGGTAGGTCAACTTTGAAAAAATTGCAAGTATAGAGGTCTACCTGTTTGGCTTGTAATGTCAGAATTACTATCAAAACAATAAAAAAGCAAACATCTTGTTGCATTGATTTTGAATAAATAATTTAAAACCGCGAAAACTGAATGAATGGTCAAAATTTCTTTTCAATATCATGTTCTATATATCTTTTATGGTTTATTTCGCGACAAAAACTGTAAATTTTGTCGATGCATTCGTTGCAATAAACATTTTGAAAACACCCGAATTAGAATATTTTCTGAACATTTTTTTTATTATTGAAAAGAAAACACACACATAAGCAAATGAAGTTGACATATTAAGCCAGAAAAATAAAAAAATTTAAATCATATGGTAGTTCTGCCCTACCTTGAATTCATTGTACCATGGTTGATAGCATGATGAATATTTCACCACATGTTGTTATAATTATTATTCTCATATGTTCCAAATAATTATGCCGATATACTGTGTATAAAAATGTGCCCTTTAGAACCGGCAGGCAATCAAAAATTGTATAATATGTAGTAGTTCGTTCACGCTGCAAGTAACCCTGCCCTTACTACATATGCCTTAACTTGCCATTTGCCGCACAGATGTGTTCACATTAAAAGCAACCATAAGGCTTTTGCTGTTGTCCTTACACTTGTCTTTAGTTTTCTTTTACCCTTGGCAACAGGATATAGAAATTTTATACCAATTTTATAACAATTCTCTTATTAAACTTTAAAAAAATAAACTATATGTAAATTACTTACCAAAATTTAAGTTATACAAAAAAGTTGTACGTGATTTACTGGCGACGACTTTGGACAATAGTCTCTGCTTTCCAAAAAAAAAACTTCGTTTGTGCTGTTTTCTATTTTCTCCCTTCTTTCAATTCCTTGCCTGTGATGAAATTCGTATAATTTTATGTAATGATGACATTTGCAAAAGGAATACAACTCCTTTTTAACTTACCACAAATTTCGCAAATTTTATCCAATGATTAGTTTTACAATTTTGCCTTCGTTCGTTCGTTTTTTTTTTGTTTCTAGTTGTCGTTTGTGTGCCTTTTTCTTTCTTCTGTTGCTAAACTACTTAAAACATTTTGTTCCTCGAATACTTTGTTAAAAGCAGAATTCACAAGAAAAAACGGTATATTTTTTAGACACGGATGGATATTATGGCAGGCAGTAGCAACACACACACGGATGCACGTACAAAATTTGAGTCTCTCCAATTTATTTTTTTATACGCACGAGCAATAGAACGAAAGCTTCCAAGGTCAGTGGAGCAAAAAGCACATAAAACAGATGTAATAAAACTAGTAATGCTCCCCAACGAATATTGCATGTGCAAGATTTTGTTGTTTTGTTGTGTGAAAAAGAGTAGCGAGAGCGAAGGATAAAATTGGGGAGAGCCGGTTTTTTGTTTACAATTGAGAGCATTTTCCCCAAAAAAATTAGGGTTCCTTAGTTCGCAATTCAGTGAGTAGAGTTATGTTTACATTAGATAAAGTACTTTATAAGGATTTATTTGCCATATATGCAGTGAAATTCACAATTTAGATCCAAATAAATCCTGTAATCTCTAGACATTTGCAACTTTTTATGAAAATCATAGTTTGGCAATAATCAGTATGCCCGAAAGATTAATTGCATATAATTTGAAGAAATTCTGACATAAAGTGAGCATAACCTCAAGGTTGAATCTTTTCTGACAAAATACGAAAGTGTATGTGCAAAAAAAAAAACACCATTCCAAATAAATTTTTTAGGAATGTATAGCTTTTTTAATTAAATCAAAAATTATAGTCATTTGGTATTCTAGAGTTACGCCATCTAGTTGTGGCATTATAACAATTCCAATTGGTATTTTTTTATGCGTTGTGGTTGTCGTTATCGAAAAAGTTTGTTTTACAGTTTGGAAACCTTGGTTATGAATTAATTTTTATATAATTTGAGCTTTTTAAATAAAGTTCAAAATTGAAAAATTAAAACACTCAAAGTCAAAAAGAAATTAAGGGCGTTCTATGTTTGTCTATATGTAGAATTATGCGGAAGATAAACACCATTCCTAATAAGTTTTGAAATACAACAAATAAACAATGAAAAATTATTAAAATTCATTCGGAATGACATTTCTTCTATATATATATATATATATACGAAGCGACATCTATTGAATTTATTTGGGAATCAATACACTAACTTGTATATGTGGTGAAAACCTTGACTATAGGTCTCTCTATGCTCCGTTATACAATCCATAGATGTCTCCCATATATTTGATGGCTGTTCTCGGCCAAGTGATCGATACCGAATAAGTGTTTATTAAAATTAAGAAATTTAGCAATTGAAATATAAAAAATATATTAAGAAATTGAAAAACAAATTCTACTTTTTGTATAATATTAGAAATTAACGGTCTCACTGGCGGTCAACTAATATTTCAATAACAAGCCATCACCAAAAATGATAGTATGTATTCCACTAAAGGCAAATCGATTATTTGTTGAACGATGTCACTTGTACCATCGATAGTTAAATGAAAGACATTCTATCGATAGTTATTCAGTTCGGATTAATTCTTCGTCAACGTTTTTTCGGTTCCGTGTCTTGTTGAAATTTATTTATTGAAATAAAGACATTTATCAATACAAAATCAAACTAAAATGCAGAAAAAATTATTTTCTACATAAAATATAAACAATAAAAAAGTAGGGAACGATAGAAAAGTGGAAAGAACATTAAAAAATTGTGTTTACAAATTTTGGCGTTGCAAGCTCCTAGTGAACAAAGTTTGTTGGCAAAGGTGATTTGGTTTTGGAGCGAAAATATGGGGCTGTATGTCAATTTTTGTGGTGCATTACTGTGTTTAAGATGTTGAAAATATGTGTTTCGCGGAAAATGCAAGAAGCTATGGATCGTGCATCAAAAGTTGGTGTAACCCTTTCGGTCGTCGCTTATTGTAGTTTGATTTAGGAGTGGAAAAGTGAAGCTTTATGTCAATTTTTGTGGTTTAGTGTGTTTAAGATCATGAAAATATGAGTTTCGCGGAAAATGCAAAAAGTTCTGGATCGTGAGTCAAAAATTTGTAAATCTTTTCGGTCGTCTCTTGAAACGAAAAGAGTAAAAAGACAAAAAATAAAATGTCAATGTATCTTACAGCGACATCTATTGTAGTTCTTTCTTATTAGCGAAAGTCTATTTAATGTGTGTGGTGAAAGCCTTGGCTAAATGCTTCTCTTTGCTCTTCGTGAAATGCTGCAGATGTCTCTCATGAATTTGTTGACTCCAATTGGTAAAATGGATATCGATTATTTGTTGAACGATAAAACTAGTGCTATCGATAGTTGAATATTCCCGCCCTTTTTTGCGTACGTTTCGTCAGTTCCGTGACTTGTAAAAACGTCTTCATTTTAAACTGAACATTTTGCAACAAATGAAATTACAAAAACGATTTGTTAACAGTAATTTGCAGGTCTAATTATGTAAAAACACTACCACAAATGAACCACAAATGAAAACAATGAAAAAAATATGAACAAAAGGAATTTGCCGTGTGAATTTGGAACAATAAAGGCAATCTTTGGCGTTACACTCCACGATGAAGGATTATTGGAGAATTTAGAGTGTGGGTATATCAAATGATGGTGTCGCCTCCGCGGGCGTTGAAAAATAAAGAGTTCTAGTGCGGGTTGGAGCTCTGTAGACAAATAACTTTGGTGATTAATTTCCTAATTGTGGTTCCTATAATTGATCAAGCTGCGGATATTGGCGAAATTGTACTTTGATAAATGACATTTTTGCAACCATGTTCCACAACTTCATGCTCCCCGTTGGAATCTTATTGCCAAATTTGGAACGTAGGTGTATCCAACTCTGGTGTTGCATCTGCGGGTGGTTTTTGGAGCGTTGAAATATTGTGAGCTCTAGTTCGGGTTAGGAGCTCTAAAGACAAAGAACTTTCGTGAACTTGCTTCGAGCTAGTTATGGATATTGGCATGATGGGAAATCAATCAATGATATTTTTGGAAACTTGTTCTCCCGTTGAAACAGTACTACGGAATTCAAAGTCTTTAAACTTTTTTTGATCACTGCGGTTGATTGGTGCTTTAGAAAAGAGTTCTAGTGCGGGTTTGAAGCTCTAAGAAAAATTGTACGAATGCTTCGTGATGTATTGTTAAATTGTATATCTGTATGTATTTCCTCATTTGAGCATGGATCAACACTTCGTAGATTTCGGTGTGATTGTGATTCGATAAATAATATTTTTAACATCCCCTCGTGCGGTTGGGGTGAGCGTGTGACAAACGGGAACATTCAAAAAACCAAGTGTGCGTACTTCAAAAACCTGTACAGAAGGGGCTTCAGTGCAGTTGCAGCTCTACAAAAAAAAAAGAAAAAGATAGTTACCGAATTCTTAGACGTCTGTGAAAATATAGTTTTTTGCTCCACCTCATCGTGTGTAATTATGATAATGATCTTGGATGTGAATACCAAATTAAGAACGATGTGGGCTTCTAAATGTTCACATTGTAATCAAGTTGGGCTTAAAAGATAGGTTTCATCCGAAAACAAGGGCCTGCAACATATGTATGCTTTTCGGAGCCATCCAATCCAAAAAATTAGACTACATCATCGGCATTCCAGTACACAGGATTTAAAGGTAAGCCTTATTTTAATTTTCTGCTTTTGGCTTTATACAAACCCTTTAATTAATCATTAAAATCATATTTGCTAGAAATAGAAATAGAAACATAGTGGTAAAAATATCAAAAATTAAGGTAAAAGTAATACAACCTTTTATGCAAATATTGACTGCGACTGTGCCTCAAATTGTCCATCCGCTTAGTCCAATTTTGGCATACTCTATCATAGTTCCACAATTCACCGGTTCCGAACGTGGAGCAAAATGTTCACCGAACTCTCCTTTACATAAGACCATTGCTACGCCTGCTGTGTGGCATGTGCCACAGTCTCGCATTTAAGCAAAAAATGTCGGATATTATTTTACGGCAGCCCTTACCATTCACAGTTACGTTACTATTCCTAGCATCTTTAAAGAAATATGGTCCAATGATGCCATCAGTCAATAAACCGCACTAAACTGTGACTTTTTTTGGATGCATTGGTAGCGTTTGCAATTGTTCTGACTGATCTTCACTCCTAAATCGACCATTCTGCTTATTTACATACCCATTGATCCAAAAATGAGCTTCGTTGCTGAACTTAACTTTTCGACAAAAAGTGGATCTTCACCAAAAAATCAGAGTTTTTATATATGGTGCGGCTTCAATTTTTGCACCAGCTGTGTTTTGAAATGCTTCACACCTAGATCCTTTCTCGAAATTGTCCACGTTGTAATGTAAAATAGGCTCAATTTCCACAAACATCGCTGAATCGGTAATTGATGGTCATCATTAACGCTTGCCGATACAGCTGTGATATTTTTTTTAGTTCGCATTTTATATAAGCGTGTTGGTGGTTTAATGTCCTGCAATTTTAATTTGGTGCGAAATTTAGTCACAGTAACCTGAATAGATTTCCAAAAATATAATAGGTAAAAAATCACAATTTATTTACTAGACTGCGGATATACAATTTAGTCCAAACCTTACATATTCTAATATTTTGGTCCAACTTACATAAAGTTCGAAAATGGGCCATATCTTCCCACACCAAACCATTCAGATACGTTCACACAGAATTCGAAGTTCGATTTTAAATCGAAATGTCTGTAATATTAAATCTAATTGGGCAAACAATTTTGCTATATAAACCATAAAAAACACTGCATTTCTGATATTTATAAAATTCTAATCAGATTTTCCAACGGAATTGAAATTCTTATTGCAGAGTAAAGTTTATGTTTTCACAGCCGGGCAGAACTAAAGCCACCTTTGCAAAAGGCATGTCTCGTCTTGAACATAAAATTAAATTCCAAAATCAACTCTTGCAACAGCACACGGCTCATCAGACTTCCACTTTTTTACAGACAAAAGGTTTAGGGACCCAAAGGGACTTGCAATGAAGTTCATAATGACTTTTTATATCTCATAATCAATATAAGAATTAGAAGGAAACTTTCGGAATTTTGCAGATACAGCTCCGCGATAAGAAAAAA